ATGTCTTAAACAGTCGGAATGGAAACAGTGGAGTGACTTTTACAGCTGACACATTCCATTCGGTGATATTTGGACACGATGAATAACATTTTGTCAGTGACGTTAGAAATCAAGAAATTAGTAGCACAAGCAACAACGAAGAACAAATAGATCTACTGAACATGGACTCCGATCCACACAAATATAAAATAAAATGAGGTAGCAGATAGATTAGCAAATTTGGGCAGAAAAAAGAATAGATATAAATGAAGTAGTTTATAGAGACTTATTACCAAGAGTTAAAAAAAATATGGAAAGACTAGGAAGAGGAGTGGAATGAAATATGCAAAACAAAAGAACAACATTTTTACAACATCCAAGATAAACTTTTAAAAAAACATGGTTTCAGGACATTAATCTAAATAGGAATCAAATTACTACCATGTGCAGATGTAGAATAGGACATTCTTGGACAACAATTCATCTACAAAGAATAGGACAACTGAACTCTCCCTCCTGCCATTGTGGTTAAACAGGTTCATTGCAACACATATTCTTTGAATTTAGAAATAACACACACAACATCAACACATTAAATAACAAAATGCTAAAAAACACCCCTTGCATGCACCGCTTTGCTTAGTAGATTACCTTAGACACTTCATTAATAAACGAATGTTTGAGCAAAAGCCACCTAATATTATAAATTACAAGAAGAAGTATAGAGCAAAAGTAAGGAAACGATGATCTAGAGCTATACGCAGCAATTGCAGTTTCCTTATGAAAAACTGACAAGAGCAAAACGAAGGACTGGGTAGATGATGAAAACTAAGCCCATAGACTTAAAAAAGAAGACATTTTGTTATGCATCGTGTATTTGGATAAAAGTAGAGACGATAGTTTAATGGGTTGCCTAAGAAAATACGGTCCAGACTATTTATTTTCTTAAAGTAAACAAAACGACACCCTGTAAAGTATTCCCCAGATGCTTTGACCAAAGAATACCTACCCAAGAAGCGAAACTGAATTAGTTTTCGTATGTACCAAAGCAAGGGAACTTAATACACTGGGAAACGTATGAAAATTAATCAATTTTTGTCGTTTGGTTCATAAGAATTAAAAACATACTAAAATAACAATGATAAAAAATTCTTACTGTGTTCATTATGTCAAATAGAATATTTTAATAAGAAATAAGTACTGTAGGTATAATAATGACAGTCTCTACACAATAGCGAAAGCAGATGACCTGGTCATTCTGCAAATAGGGAATTTTGAGAACAATTATGGAACAGTGGTGCAATGACCATTTACTGTTTATCTATCCCGAGAACACAGAAATGGTCCTTTTTACAAGGAAACTGATGAAAATTGAATTTAAACTTACAGAGCTCCTAAACACAAAGCAAAATTTTGCGACCGAGGTGAATTACCTAGGTAGCATTTGTGACAACAAGTTAACATGGAACTCATACTTAGAAAACAGAATCAAAAGAGCATACATTACTTAAGAACAATGTCGCTGAACCGTGAGGCGCACCTGAGTTTTCTCCCCCAGAGTCATCACATGGACTTACATGGCCATCATAAGACCTATGCTAACATACAGTGCAGCTGTCTGAGTACCGAAAATCTGAAATAGAACAAATTCAAATAACTGCATGTCTCAACATAACAGGAGCCATGAAAACCACATTAACCAAAGCCATGGAAGTTACTCCCCTTGATATTTATATTAAGGAGGTTACTCTGAAGATGATGACACAACTCTTCACTGTTGAAATAGAACCTGATGTACGATCTAGTGAGGCGAGACGTCGCTTTTGGCGAAAGGCGCTCGATATACTCATCTCATTTCACCGAGATATATCTTCCATAAGCCATATGAAGATATAACAACAAATTGAAGAGCCAGCCGGAAGTGGCAGGTACGATTCATATCTACACCGACGGTACTAAAACCAAACAATGCTCAGTATGTTGAATTTAGTCCAATTCCTTAAATCTCAACATAAAATGGGCTGTGAGCAATAGTGCCAATGTAGTTCAAACCGAGGTCACGGAGGTTCTCATAGCAGCAAAAGAAATCACCAGAATCAATATCGCTGGTAGGAATATGCTTATCTATATAGATAGCAGATAAGCACTATTTGTCTTGAACAAACTACGAATTTACTTAGGGTTGGTACTAGAATGTCTCGCAGCTTTGAAAAGAATATCCATCCAACAAAGTGGTCACCTTAAAATGGATCAAAAGTGACGCCACATCGAAAGGTAGCGTTCTTGCTGATTCACTACCCAAATACTTTTTGGGCCTTGACCTTCTATTGTACTGACAACATCGGTAGTGACAGACCTAATTAAAGAATATTCTCTTGTGAAATTAAAGGAAAAATTGAATGACACAAAAAACTGCAGAGTTACCAGGGAGCTTTTAAGTTATCCTGGCAACACAACAACAAACAAATACTTGACTATGACTAGACAGAATCTACGTCTGATCACAGTAATTCTGACTGGACATTGCCAAGTACGGAAGCATCTCCCTTTCGTGGGGCTGCCAGAATCCTCACCCTGCAGGGTGTGCGAACAAAAAGATGAGATCATTGAGCATATCCTTTACGATTGCTTGTCGCTCTCATTTACTAGAATATTTGTTTTCGGCGAGTATTGGCTAACACCGGCCGATATAAGAGAAGCACCTCTTGGCGACGTTGTCAACTACATTAAATCTGTAGGCTGGCTCACAAGCTGGAGGTGCCTATCATCTTAGGAGGATACACAATGGGCCTAGTTAGACCTAAGTGCCGTAGGGGGTAATCCACCCGCCACACGTTACATATCTAGAAGTACTGTCATATATTTTAATTATTGTTTTATATTATTGTTTATTTACCGTTTTAAATTGATTGGTTTGAAAAACAAAATAATAACATATTTAAAAAAAGACTAGGTAATTAAACGTAGGCGTAAATTATAATTATAGGTACTTAATACTGATTTAGAATAAAAAAAAATTACAGTTAGATGCAAGAACGTTCAATAAAATTTATGAACATGTAATACAAATTTTAAAACTATCTTATTTCTAATTACTACTTAGTTAAATACAACTACTTAACTATACTGCAATTTTCACAAAACGCTAATAATAATATACCAAACGTTGCTCTACATACATTGACAGCATATTTGACGTTAAACTACCTCTAAAACACTGAGAAAACTTGGCAGTTTTTTGTCCACGAATCGCCCATTTAGTTTCGCTTCTTGGGTAGGTATTCTTTGCTTTGACTATCTTCTGAGATCTTCAAAATTCGAAATTTGCTCTTATCCTCAAATATCTCGAATTAGGTCCATTTTAGGGAAATCATGTATGAGAACAAAATAATAGAGAACGACATCAAGAGCAACTTTTATCATGATTCCTATTTCCTCATCTGTACACAAAAAGGAAGGTAAAAAATGGCCATGCCCGTATTTTCTTAGACAACCCATTTGCGGTATATTTAAAAATATATTTTATTTAATAAAAAAAACTTTAATCCATTAAACAGATGGGTGATGGTCGAACTTACTTACGGATCCTAGACTATTATACCAGTAGTAAGTATAAAATACATATATTGAAATAAAATGTTTTTAATATTGTGATTGATTTTCTTAAAAACTAATTCATATTAATTTTTAGGTAAATTTGTCATAACTGGTTTGGAAAAAATATTTACTGACTATTTATGTTGTTAGTAAGAGGACATTTTAAAGTATCGGATTTAAAATAAAAGAAGTTCTTAAAAGTATTAAATTGAATTTAATATTAATATAAAACATATAATGTTCAAAATGTTTCTAGAGGCTGTTCCGTTAATTTTCTGGAATGACAGGAATTTTATCTTAGCTATTTAAATTTTCTATATGTATATTATATCTCAATATTGGAAATTTCTTACGAATTAAACAATATTTGTTTATTTATATATTCATTGCGTTGATATTGATTTTAGCGCCCTCTAGTGGGATAAAAATTGTTACGTTTTGTAAAGTATGACATTTTATAGCTAATTATATTAGTATTTTTTTGTCTGTTTGTAGATGCATCTATTGTTGTTGGAAATAAATAGTGTAATATCAAAATTTGCTATGAAGGCTCAAATAACGTTTTTAATAAGTAAATAGGTAATTTTGTGAAAATGTAGCTACAAATCTAGGTATTAGGAAAATAAAACGCCAAAGTATTAGTAATATGTATTACTTAATTCGATTTTAAACAGATCTGAAAATAAACTCAAAATCTTTCTTATATCTATATCATAATTTACCGTCTTAAAGGAAACGCTCAAATTTTCTTAGATACTAGAATACCCTACACGCTGAGAAAATTTTGATTCTGTCTTTATTTCTTCTCAACGATAACAAATACTTTATTTCTTTTCAACGATAGAAAGTACTTTATTTTTCATTAAGTTTATATGTTTGCATATTTACATTTAATATTTAAACGTAACGAGTACAAAAAAATGGCCCCACGTTGGGCGCCAATTTTGTTCATATATATCAATAATAAATATAAAAGTGTAACGAGAATTAAATTAAACAACCTTAGAAGTTTGTATTACGAAATAAGATATTAATAATTTTTTTACTAATGCTTGTAAAAATAGTTTTCGGGTCGAGGATACAGTTTGCAATGCAAAGTTCATGGGGTTTGCAACGGTTCCAGCAATAAACAAGTAAAGACGAGTATCTTAAAAATTGTACCATGTTTCACGTTTCTTTAAAATATCGATTTGTTACTTTAAAAATATTAAAAAAAAATAGTAAACAATTATTTACCGACCCAACACTTTCATTTGTATAATACTGTTGACAGGTTAATCTGTACCCTTTTCTGAAATTTAAAAAAAAAAATAGTTATATTTGATTCTTGCATACATAATGATGTTAGGTAGGTAGGTCTGTTCGTTTCAATACGGCGTCAATATACATATTTCAACTTAAAGGTATTTACAAAATAACTCATTTTTGTCGTTATAAAAACCATAAAACCATTAACATTTTAAACACTAAAGACAAACTTTTTCACGTTTTCCCATTGGTTGTGGGTAATTCTGATGATTTTACAGGATATTTAAGCAAACCTAAAACAAGAAATCGATTGTCAAAAAGACATAATACAAATTTTAGCTAAGATTTCTTACCAACGAAACTTAGTAGGGCGGGCAGGAAAACGAGACCATGAAGTGCTCCAATCACGACTATGCCCATGTACATTCTGAAGTAGAATACTCGAAATATTTGAGAATTTGCAAAACCAAGTACCACTATTCCACAGAATTTAGTCAATGTGATACCACTAATTACCTAAAAGAAAAAAAAAGAAAAAAATTAGCTTCTGTTTTACATTATCGGGATTCCACAAAGTCTATACTTTAGTTTTAAATTAGAAAAAAGTTGGTGTTTAGATAGATATCATTTTAGCAGTAAATTTTAATGTGACTTTTGTTTCATTTGAAGCAAAACATTACCATAAAATTTTGTTACGAACATTGAAGTTATTTTACATCAGAAAATTATATTTTGCCGAAAGTATATAAACGTTATCATTAAGCTTAGCGATTTTAATCCACCAGCGTTGTTGTCAAACTAATATTAATTGCAATAACATGAGGAATTTAGTAAAATAATATGTTTCTATTGAAAATTGAAATATATATTGTATCAAGATGCCACTCATCTGTTAGGGAGGCTTAGCCTCCGTTACCTCCTCAAACAAGCTACAACTGTCTACATTTCAGTAAATATAGACGATAGATTTACAATAGTTATCTACTTACTTTTATACCAGTATTTGCCAAAGCATCCCTAATCCTGTCAACGGCATTATCTTCGAAGGAATTTTCAAAAGAATGGATTATGTGCCCGCAAAATTCCACAGAAATTCCAACGCACTGAAAAAATTAAATATTGACTGTCATAAAACGCATAGAAGGCTATTAAAATACATACCATGACCAAATTAACCAAAGAAATGGCATTCAAAGATATACTCCACAACCACATCAGTCCCATCATGTGAACGATAATCATGAATACCGTAAACGTCATCACTATTGCTGGTAAAAAGCTCAATCCCGATAACAAGAAACTAGTAACCAGGACGGTTGCTAAAGATAGAGACAGTGAAGTTATAGTGTCTTTCCATATCGTCAAATATTGCTCGAAGAAAACGTAAAAGACACTGAAAACAATTAATGCATTTTTATTTGTGTTAAAATTTTACAAGACATATATTCTACTAAACATTTCATGTTGATATGTCTTTGGGTTTTTGATTTCTATTTTTTTTTTATTTCAACCCCTCTTGACCCTCAATTTATTCAGTTTTTTCTTTAAATCAATAGACGTTGTCTCCTTATAGAACTTAATTTTGTTGATGTTATTGACTGTTTTTAATTTTTTTAATATTTTAAACCTCAAATTTATTTAATTTTTTTTCTGAAACAATAGGCTTCTTAAAAAACTTGGGGTCCGTATAAGATTAAGAGTGACGGAATTAAAACAAAAAAATTATTGTAATAAAAAGTACTCATTTTATATAGTAAATACTTAAAAAAAAATTGCGGAAAATTCACAAAATTTTGAGAAAAATGAATTAAAAGTTGTAATTTTATAGGTTATTTTGGTTTTATCATGTAGGTGACAATTTCGAAGTTTTAATGATATTATAATTGAAGTAACTTACTTTTGTTACATTTTAACTGAAATTTGATATATATGGAAAATTATTTTGCATTTGCTAATTTAATTTATATTAAAATTAAATGCATTGTATTGTCCGTTTAACCATTTACTTCCACAAAACATAAAATGAAAAAAATAAATCATCAAATCACCTCTGTTGGCACATGACAACATGGGGTAGTTGAGTTTGCACCGTTGCCATATTAACAAAGTTTATACAGTAAGTTAAAAATTTATGAAAAATCACGAATTTTTAAGAAAAATTTTATCAAAAATTGCAGTTTTTTAGCTTATTTGCCTTATTATTGACATCGAACATGTATGTATTATTCACAACACAAAACAATTATGGTATTAATATGAAAAGAGATATACGTATCTGTGATTTTTTACTTTTAAATTTTTGTGGTGTGGCATTTAAATCTTTTAAGTAGTAATTACCGACTTTATGTAAAATGGAATTTAATTACATAATAGATGTTATGAGAGTTTATAATAAAACTGAAATTTTTGATAAAATTTTTCTTAAAAATTCATGATTTTTCATAAATTTTTAACTTGCTGTATAAAACAAGTACTTTTTAGTCTAGACACATAAAACCTGGAGAAACTTTGTTAATATGGCAACGGTGCAAACTCAACTACCCCATGTGTCATGTGCCAACAAAGGTAATTTGATGATTTATTTTTTCATTTTATGTTTTGTGGAAGTAAATGGTTAAACATCTAATTTCAGTTAAAATGTAACAAAAGTAAGTTACTTCAATTATAATATCATTAAAACTTCGAAATTGTCACCTACATAATAGTATGATAAAACCAAAATAACCTATAAAATTACAACTTTTAATTAATTTTTCTCAAAATTTTGTGGATTTTCCGCAATTTTTTTTTATGTATTTACTATATAAAATGAGTACTTTTTATTGCAATAATTTTTTTCTTTTAATTCCGACACTCTTAATCTTATACGGACCCAAAACGGGATTTTTACTAAAAATTTCATGTTGATATTGCTTTTCGTTTTTGATTTATGATTTTTTTAATTTTAATCCTCCCTTCACCCCTCATTTTTAATCAGATTTTTTTAAAATCAATAGGATTTGTCCCCTTATAGAGCTCGACTTTTTCTAAAAAATTCAAGTTGATATTTTATTTTTTGATTTTTTTAATATTTCAACCCCCTTAACCCCCTATTTTTTATTTTTTTTTTCAAAATCAGCAGGCTTCATCCCCCCATAGAGCTTGATTTTCCTGAAATTTTCAAGTTGATATAATTTTTCGTTTTTGACTTATCGTGCGGACCAAACACGTGATATTTCGCTACGCCCTAGGATTTTTAGCACCAAAAAAGTTGATAAGATCTTTTTTTTAAGTAGCAAAATTTGTGTCTAATAATATGTACCTAATCATACTCTATATTTATTTAAGGATTTTTTAATAATAATAAACGTTTGGTACTTGAAATATCCGTTAAACTACATAATAAATCATAAAATAAATTCTAAAAAACTCATACAGGTATATGCACCATATTTTGAAATTACCAACTTTAGTTAAACCAAATGCTAAAACTCAAATGGGTACTAGCTCAGTCTATCGCCCTTTGATAATTTTAGTTAACTACCTTTAGTTTCTACCACCTTTGGTAGAAATATATTTTTTACAAGTAACATGACGCAATTTCGAAGAAATTCATATGTAGATTAAATAAAAAAAAATACCAACTTTAGTTACACCAAATGCTATAATTCAGATGGGTAGTATTTCAATATATCGCCCTTTGGTAATATTAAGTCATCAAAGAAATGTATTTTTTACAAGTAACATGATGCAATTTTAAAGAAATTCGTATTTAGGTATATCCACCATATTTCGTTAAATAACAAAAAATTACCAACTTTAGTTACACCAAATGCTAAAACTCAGATGGGTATTAGTTCAGTCTATCGTCTTTTCATAATTTTAGGTCATTTAAGATGCTAGAAATGTATTTTTTGTTAAAGTAATCCATAACACTTCTAATGAAAAAAAATAATATTAATATGGTTTGTTACAGTAGGTGGCCGTGATAAATAGGCAGCCATACTTTTGACAGATGAAGTTTATATTGGTAAACTACATTGACTTACTGTATTCGCTCCGTGCGAAGTCATGGAAAGGGAAGCAAAAGCGATACTAGCGCTAGCTGCGGATAATTCGTGCATTTTAGGGTGATATTTTGTAATTTTGACATATCAAATACACGTATAAATTTTACTTTTTTCCAAAAAAGTAGGTACAAACAATACAATAAGCAAACGGAGTTGCTGTGTTGACATTTGTACAAATACTAGCAAAAAAAAACAGTGAAACTTATATAAAAAATTTCAGTAGCAAAGTGGAAATTAAATCAAAGAAATAAATGGATAGATGTACAATAAGAAGAAAAATTACCTTTATTTTTTTAATAATAACAGTAATGCTGTAAATAGTAGACATCAGAAACTTGAAAGGTTTTAAATAAACAATAAATATTATCATTTTACGATATTCTTTAATGTCCCTTTATTCTTAAGGAGGTCCTTTCGCCACCCATTTCGCCACCAATGTTAAATAAAAAATATTAGATTATGACTAAAATTTATTTTTTTTCTAATAGTTGAAGTCAACTTCTCATACATTTTCCAGTAAATACTGTTGCCTGCTTATATTTTATTATTGATTTTCATTGATTATACATAATTTTCTTTAATTTAAGCGTTAAAAATATATAATAATAATAAATCAATGTTTTACTTGTTTTACAAATCCATATACTTTTATTAAAACTAACATATATACTTTTTAATTACGAATTCTATTAAAAATTGTATTTGTCAGTATATACAGAAATGGTCCATTAATATCAAAACGAATTGGCGCTGCGGTCGCGCACGGAGCGAATAGTAAACCAGCAAACAAATATATTCTTATGTAAAACATTTTTTGTAAGCATTCGCGTTAAACAATTTGAGAAATATGGAATGCTTTGAAAAGTACAATTTATGTGAATACTGCAAAGAGTTGAGTCAAGTGTAAATATGTCATCCAAAATTAATATATTTAACAAATTTAATGGAAGATTGCGACCAGGAAAATCCAAGAAAGTTTGCTGAAGAAGTCAAGTAAATATGGCCTTTTGCGTAAAAGAGATTTGTAAAAAATGTTGCAAAATATAACATATATGTCTTAAAACACAGACATCTAATTAATTCGTCACCTTGCTATTACCATTAAGAAGAGAGGATGGGTAAGAATTCAAACATTTTTTGAAATATAAATTGATAATGTATAATAATTAAACAAATTTGTGTTTTCTGTTTAATGAAACTTTATAGCGAATAATAAATAATAATGGTAATAAATGGAAATTTTGCATTATTTACAGGTATATCTACATTATTTAATGGTTGTAATCATCCCACCTAACATCAATGTTCTATGAATATACCAAGAACGTTCTGATTAAGTTCTTTTTAGTATATCCTTTTAGAATGTTCTTAGAACATACCTAGAAAATACTTTGAAAGTATATTTTAGAAAGTATATACTGAGTACGTGCCTTAAAAGTATATTCCAAAAAGTATATACTGAGCACGTGCTATAACAGGACATTCTTAGAAGATACTAAAAGTCATATACCCAGCACGTACCTCATATTCTGAGAATGTTCTAAATGCTTGCAGGTAAAAACTAACACCAAATACATGTAAAAACAAGTTTATATACATATCTATATGAATTTTTCCCAGATGCCGATCTAATAATTCGCTACCAAACGCACTAATGTTGAATGTTTAGGCCAAAAAACATTCTCAAACTAAACCATCAGCTTCTGTTCAGTATTCTTCACTATGTTGGTTTTTCGGTTAAAGCAACTGAATTTATTAAAAACTATCTTTTCGATCGTTCACAGTTTGTTGAAACAAGTGCCGGTAGATCTGATATTAAAAATATTGCCTGCGGTGTGCCACAGGGCTCTATTTTGGGACCAATTTTGTTTTGCATTTACTCTACTAATATTAGTTCGGCTCTTACCAATGGCAGAGTTTATATATATGCTGATGATACGCAAATAAGGTTTTCTTTGGCTGATTTTAATGTGGCTCTTACTAATGAACTGATTAACTCAGAATTAATAAAAATCGTAAATTTTTCTAACAGACATCAGCTAACTATCAATCCCGCAAAAACACAAATACTCGTCTTTGGAAAAAATAAAAAAGAACTAGCAGAACATTTATCTGTGAGTATTGATGGTGTCTTGGTGGCTTGTGTAGATGTTGCCAAAAATCTGGGTCTTCATCTTGATACTGACTTAAAATTTAAAAGCCATGTAAATAATTGTATAAAAAGGGCTTACGCTAATTTGAAAATGCTTTACCCGCATCGCCATGTTTTAGATCAAAATATAAAAATACTTCTTTGTGATACTATGGTTCTCAGTCATTTTAATTACTGCGATGTCGTCTACGGGCCTTGTATTGACTATGTGGATATTAATCGTATTCAAAGAGTACAAAATTCTTGTCTTCGCTACAGATATGGTATAAAAAAATACGAAAGGATAAGTCACAAACTAATTGAAACTAACTGGTTAAATATGGAAACTAGAAGGAATTTACACATGGTAACATTGTATCATAAGATCATTTCATTAAAGTCGCCTCCTTATCTCTATAATAAAATTACATTTCGAAGTGATGTGCATAATGTGCATACAAGGTTTAGAGGGCATATATCTCCACCTCTTCATCGTACCTCCAAATTTCAAGGTTCATTCTCTTATATGATATTTAAACTATATAACCTGGTTCCTCCTAAACTCAAACATCTTTCGACAAATATGTTTAAGCAAAAGTATAAACATCTCTTGATGTCAGAAAATATCTAGTCAAAACAACCATTAGATATTATAATAAAATGTAATATTACATTTATAAAATGTGTATTTATATTTTTGTCTCGATTGTGCCACACTTTATTCGTTGTATTTTATTATTTTAATATTTTTCTTTTCTTTATTAGGGATAGCAATTAATATCAGCTATGCTGTCTGCTATTACCTTTTTGTAGTATTATACTATTTTGTTCGATAAAATTTATGTATTTAATGCAAATTTACCTGTAATACTGCAAATAAATTATTATTATTATTATTATTATTATTATTATTATTATTATTATTATTATTATTATTATTATTATTATTATTATTATTATTATTATTATTATTATTATTATTATTATTAAATAGAAGAAAAGAAGAAGAATAACAGAACCTACAATTCCTACAAATTTTTTTGATCTCGTTTGTTTGTAAGAGGTAAGTCAATTAATAAAAATTAATTGCATCGTATGTTCTATATGAAAATAAACAAATTTTACTATATTTTTAGTTTTTAGGTCCTATAAGTGACGTTAGAATACAGGATATCCCAAATATTAATTGCCAGTGTGAATGTATTAATATAGTTAATACTAATGGTGGATTGAAACTAAAATACAGTGTTACCAGAATTACATACACACTTTCTATGAAAAAAATCCTGTTAGGCGAGATATTGACCTAGAAGAACTAGAAAAGGTAGCTAAAGGAGGACGAAAACTACAAAATGGTGGTAAGTAATTAACAAAAATATATTTATACTTTCAGTAAACATCATAATCATTTATGTAACTCTTGTTTTTGTTAGTGGAATGCCATGTACAATTTTTAATGTTTTATGTTCGACAAAAATATTTAAAATATTCCATTAGCTATGTACACTTAATTTGTATATGTACCAAGTTTGTTAATTTTTTTTATTTTTTAGATTCAATGAATATCCAATTGAATCAAGCAAATGAAACTCAAGCCATTGATACAATAAAATATTGATTGGTTAAGGCCAAAGATAGTATTTGTAATAAAAATAAGTATGAATTCTTTGAAATAAAGACTCATTATATACACTTATTCTTTAATGTTCAATATTAATTAAACATCGATCCTGTATTAAGGTGTCTAGTATATGCCTAGCATATATTTAAATACTCAGCATATACTTAGAACGTACTATCAAATGAAAGTAGCTACCTGTTGCATACTATACACATACTTGAAGTACATTCTCAGTATCTGCATAGCACGTATAAATAACGTCACATAGCATATGCTTAGCATATTCTGAGAATGTACCAAATGCAAATACAGTATATTCTCAGCATATGCGTATTCTTCAAAAGTATATACTAAGAATGTATAATTGTTATCTGGGATATGTATACCTTTTCAATTGTCAAAAAATTTCCACTTAAATATCGTGGCGCCTCGAAAAAATTTCCGGAATTTTTTTAAGTTGCCATGATAACTAGTCAAAATTAAGGCATCTTATTGGTTGAAAAATAGAGGTGTGAAACTTTTATTACTATTAACGTATTGACTTGAAATTTGGTAGGAATTTTTAAGCTATCAAATCATAATATTAATATTAGGCATTTCAAACAAAATGGCTAGCAGTGGGTTTTGACATGGCAATATTATGGCAACCCTGTAGGCCTGGTGATTTGATAGGGTCAGTGAAATAGATAGTTATATAGATTAATCATTCATGTTTTTGAAAATATACATAAGCTTATGCCTCGAAGTAAAAATGTAGGTAATCATTTTTTTACTATATTCAAAGGCTGAAAATTGGTTTGTATACACATGTTTGCTAAAGCGATTCTGATTAATGAGCACTTGCAAGGAAATATGGCTTTGAGCAATCTATACAACTATACATGTATCATTCACTCTGTCAATGACAATAGACCACATACTTTGATTTTCTTTTACTATACGGAGAATGGTCGCACCGCGCAGCTTTCTGAGTGCCTTTTAAAAGGAGATAGAAAACTCCGCTATTTTGAACCCTTATTACGTGTTGCCTACATCTTGGCGCAATATTTTTAATAGGTGCGTTTTAATCATCCGCTTCTGCTGCGGAATTGTCGGTTTTCTTGTTTTAATCTGACAGGTTAAAACGACTAAACCGACAATTCCGGAAGCAGAAGCGGATGATTAAAACGCACCTGATATTTTGCTTGCTGCTGTCAGTGTCAGTGAATATTATTTTTGAAGTCACAGTTTATTGCTAAAGAATCAGTTAGCTCACTCGGACCAGTTGAAAGTTTCAAAATAACATCCACTCCAGGGATACAAATTCAGGATACGCAGAAGAATGCTGTTTTATTGTAGGCGGTTGTCATATATTGTATTATTCGAGTTGCACAGTGTATAAACTGAAACATTGAGATCAAAAGTGCCGACGCAGAGTGAGCGATCTGATTCTTTAGCTGTAAACTGTGTCACAGGGTTCAAAATGGCCGCACCCTATGTTGGGCGTGTCGGACCTCTCTCTTGCCTCGTATAGTAATCAAAGTATGTGCAATAGGCCCACAGGGTTGACATATCTAACTGTCAGTTCCCACTTGTCATAATTTTGGCAGGTCGTTGGAATGCCTAATTCTGTGGTACTTAACCTATAATTAAAACTTACCATTCCTTGTTAAACAACATGTAAATATAATAACAATAATCTATTTTTTTACCTGTATGGAAATATTTCAACGCCTGGCACATTGAGAGTTCTGGTCAAATTTTCTGCTATGTGCCTAGCATATTTCAACGCTGATGTATATTCGCTAGCGTTTTTAAGCACGGTGTGATATGCCATTACATTCGATGCTATAATATTTGAGATCCCTTTGTTATCGGTGATATATGTTATAGACTAAAAGAACAAAAAAATTGTTAGAGAAATTTGCTTAATTTTTGAAATATTAATTTTACAGAAAAATACGTGAAATAAAAAAAGATAGGAAATTATAAGCTCTAAAACAGGTCATTAGTATTTTAGTTGCACAATTAACCGTTTTAGATAGAAATCCAAAAAACTATTTTAAAAAACTTACGTTTGAATACGAAGCATGGCCTCCTTTAGCGCAAGTAGGATTTGCGTTGTCGTTCAAAAAATGCGGTAAATATCTTTGATAATAATCGTGTTCTGTAAGATTAAGCGAATCTTTTACAGCTGAATAGTAACAAGGCTCGCAGTCGACATTGGTATGAGGACAAAATGAATCGTTGTTTTTGAAATATTTGCAGCAACCCTCACTGGTTGACCAGTCTTTGAAATCGTCCACCCACGAGTTGGCTTGAGTAGATAAATAAGTTCTGAAATAAAAATAACACTTATTTAAATGTATAACGTTATAAGAGTGTTCGTCCTTCAAATATGTATGTGGATGAGGTTTAAATGGGAAGAGGACTTGCGCCAGTAAGAAAGTTTAACTCTTTATAATTTGCCAAAGTTTCAATGTTTATTTTACAAACTATGAGGTTTACATAATAGCCAAAATTAATAAATATTTATCTTTCTACCATCTGTAACCATTTAGTCCGTGGTCGTCCCCTTCTTCTCCTCCCGGTTATTCCTCCAGTTAATACTTGCTTTGTTGGTCTTTCATCTGCTAGTCTCGCTACATGTCCTCACCACCTTATTCGCTGTGCCCTGGCTAAATTTGTTATAGAGGGTTCTCCATGTAATTCATTTCAACGTTTGTTCTTTGCCATCCATTATCTACTTTCTTTTCGCCATATATCTTTATAGAGACTTTTCGTTCGAATATTTCCAATGAGTTTTTTCTTTTTTGTTTAATTTTTATACCTCGCTTCCGTAAGTGACTATTGGCTTGATTATCGTTTTATAGATTCTCTTCTTTGTGTTTTTTTGACAAATTCTTGGATTTAAGGAGATGAAACATTCCTTCTGTATATTGTATTCCTTTGGCAATTCGTTCTTCTATTTTTTCTGTCTCTCTCTTTACCATTATCGATTATTGTGACTCCTAAATACCTAAATTTGGTCACTTTCTCAAACTTGTACTCTATTTCTATTCTTAATTCTCTATTCTGTATGTTTCCTGGCATTTTTTCTACTAACATGAATTTTGTTTTTACTTCATTGATTATTAACCCCTTTTCTTTTGCAGCTTCCTCTAACTTCTTTGTTGTTTTTTCTAAATTTTCTCTTGTTCTAGCTAGGAATATCAAATTATTTCTCTGATTATATATCGTACCTTTTGTTTGAATTCCACTTTGACTTACTGCAGAGTCTAAAATTATGTTAAATAATGTAGTAGATAGAGGATATCCCTTTCTCGGTCCTTTATCAACTTTATAATCTGTTCCAGTTAGTGTGATTTTTACTAATCTTATGAAGATTTCCTGTATTCCAAATTGTTGCATCGTCCTATATATTTTTTCCCGTTTTATCTTAACATAAGCTTGTTTAAAATCGATGAAAATCATATATAATGGTAAGTTTTGATCTAGACTATTATCTATTATTTCTTTTAATATAAATACCTGATCGATGACTGATCTATTTTCTCTAAAACCGCATTTTACGACATTATTCTATTCTTGATTGATATTGCCATTATTTTATACATAGTGTCCATCAAAGGTATTCCTCTATAATTTGCACAATTAGATATATCTCCTTTTTATGTACAGAACAAATTAATGATTCTTTCCATCTCATGGGCATATTTTTCTCTTCTCATACTTCCTTTATTATGTTGTATATGTTATTTTCCAGTTCATATCCTCCAATTTTCAACATTTACGCTGTTATCCCATTTTCTCCTGGTGCCTTGTTATTTTTAAACATTCTTATTATTTCTTTTATCTCATCTATTGTTGGTGGTTTATCTTAATTGTTTATTTCTAAATTATTTTCAACATTTATTTCAAGTACATCATTTTATTCTATTTTAATGACTTCTTTAAAATACTCCACCTGTTTAAACTATCTTGTATTCCTCCCACTAACTGGCCTTGTTTATCTTTACAGAACATCATTTTATTCTGTTGACACTTATTTTTATTTCTTTTTATGTGTTGGTAAAATTCTCTAGTTTGTTTTTTTTTACATACGTATTTTCTATTTGGTGAATTTGTTTTTCTATACATTCTTCTTTCTGTTTTTTTTTTTAACCTTCTTTTTCAAATTTTTTTAGTCTCTTCCATTTTCATTTGTATTTTGACACAACATTTTCATTCTTGCTTTTCCTCTTTTTTGAATAATTTTTTTACATTCGTCATCGAACCAGGGCTTCGTTGGTTTGCCTTTCTCTTGAAAGGAGCACAACTCCTTTATGAAATATTTTTTTCTAACTCTCTCCATTTTTCTTCTATCGTGTTTTCATTTATTTCACTAATATTTCTATTAATCTGTATCTGAAAATCAGTTTTAATGTCTTCTTCCATTAGTTTTTCCATTCAATAAGTTATTCTATGTTTCACTCTTTTTTCTTCTTTTGGTGGTTCATGTATTTTAATTTGCATTTGCATCCAGTATATATTTTAGATGTTTACTTTCAATGGCTATATGGTTCATTTTGTTGCATGTTTTTCTATTAGGTGAGATCCATGTTCCTTTATATATTTCTGGATGTTGAAAATAAGTAGTAGGTATTCTTAAGTCCTTTTCTGTTGCAAATTCTATTAGTTTTTTTTTCCATTTCCATTACTTTCACAATGTATACTGTCGGTTTATATATTGTTTCTTTTCCAATCTTTGCATTGAAATCTCCTATCAATATTTTGACATCGTATCTTGGAATTTTGTTATAAATTTGTTCTATATGTTCATAAAACTCTTCTTTTTCTTCCTCCTCTTTATCTTCTGTAGGGCAGTGAACATTGATAATGCTTATCTTTCTGTACTTGCTTCTCATCCTTATTTTGTCAATTCTGTTTGTTACTGGTGTAAACTCTATTATAGCTTTTTTAAGTTGTTTTTTACCAAAAACCATGTTCCAAACATCCTATCGTCTGTTCCGCTATTGAAAAATATATATTCTCCTACTTCTTTAATAAAGTTTCCTGAATGTTTTGTTACTTGTACCGCTATTAAATCTATTAAGAAATTGTCCATAATTTGTGTTAATCTAATTAAGGTTCCTTCATACGTGTTCCTGACATTTCAAGTTGCTAAGTATATTTGTTCATGTTTTTGATTATTTCCTTCATTTTCTTTGAAAGCTTTATTTTTCAAAATTTGTTTTTATAGTTTTATTATAATTTTGTCTTTTTACTACATCATCTATAACTATTTCCTGGTTATCCATGTTCATAGTCTTATCCGTTGCCGTTTTTAATCCATTTTCATATTTCAGTTCCAGTTTTTTTATCTAACTCTTCAGTAGTATAATTCTACTTCCATTCTCTCCCTGATAAATATTTAATGTACATAAAAAATTATATATTTTCAAATAAATTTTTAACTGCTCAAATATAATCCTTGATCTGCTTGTCTCGTAAATATTTACTCGTTATATAAAATAAGGTAATTTGTAACTGGTTTCATAAATAGCTATTATATTTATTAAAAAAAGGGTATTTCAACTCAGGGGTCAATTGTAAGTACTTTAATTGCTCTAATAACATTCTTAAAATAATTCTGAAGAACAATTTTGCTGCAAAGAGCAAAATAAAACTGATGTAACAGTAACAGAACAGATTAGTGTTTACGGAATAGTAATACATGACTTATGGATTACATATAAATGTACAGTTACTCTAATAGCTATGTTTAGTTTACAGCAACATTACTTCTGATTAATTTTCCTTTCCAGCCTGATAATAACCCCTGGTAGCTTTTGATAGCTCCTGGTAGCCCTGGTAGCCCTTTTGAATAAATAAAACATTTTTGTGGTACTGATTTAGATTATTTTATTTTTAAATTAATGTTTTAAAACCAATCTTGTTAGCTAAATTTCGTATTTTTAATCATTTCAACTTTTTTCAAAGTTCCAATATTATTAATTTGTGCATAGAATTCATTTTATTTCAATTGGATTAAATATGTCCACATAAATCAACTACGCCCTCTAAGAATATATTATCAAACTCTTTGGTACTACTGCTTATTCCTAAATCTATTAAAGTATTATGTACAAAATTTTCTGTTTTAATAACTATATGACTGTTAAGTTTAAGACAAGTAAATTTTTAATTTTAGACGTGAAAACGAAAGTGTTTCAACAAAAGGTATTATGAGGAAAACTCTCATCTTGTTTGCCAGTAAGTATAATTACACTTACGTTTACTTTAAATAAGTTCTTTTATTAACAATATAACTGTTAGAAATAAATCCAACATATTTCAATTATTACATAAGGCAAAGCCATAAGTGCATAACCGATCATTTAATTAATAATCAAACAATTAACTCTTCTAATTTGATAAATAATCCAAATATAACAAAAAATGATGCGCTGTTTCTGCTCGTCGAATTAATTCGAGAGCAACGAGTTCTACATTACCATGATCCCACTAAATATGAAACAACCAGTCTTATTTGCAACGTTTTTTATAGAAACTTTTCTTGATATATTTTTAAAACTGTACTTAAATATCTCACAGATGTTTAAATTTAAACATCATATTCATTAACATCCCTCGCATTTATTTACAACTGAAGTTTCATGTACGCAGCAATAATACATTAGCAGTTACGTAAACATCTTTTGTATCTATTTTTAGTTACTTCCTGTGAGAAAAATTTGTACAATGGGCATAAGGGCATTGAAGAGGCTGATTTACTAGCTCGAGAAGGACCTCGAAGGCTCTTATTGTTCCAGAACCCTTCGGTGCTATCATAAAGACAGCCATCAGAACAAGCAAAAAGTAGTGGATGTTAAACAAATTTCAGGAATATTGGAATAAAGTAGAGACACTCCAGAGAGGTCTCAAAACGACCGTCGCCAAATCTCACCGAGCAACTATTGGGACAATAGGAAAAATTATGGAGTATTAGAAAGCCTATTAACATTTGTATAACATCGGTCTAGTAGAAGGAACCTTGTGCCGATTCTGTCAGGAAAAGGAGGAAACTGTAGTACACAATTTCCTAAAAGACGTTGATCAACACAAAGTCGTCAAGGCTTCTGCTTCTTTCCTCAAAAAAACTGGTAAGGTCCGTGTACCAGAATAGGTAGATATTGTAAAAATCTCTCGTGCTAAATAATTAGCACCTTACAATCCTGATTGGTACTACTACTATTAGATGCTCCGCTATTGTTGGGCAAACCTACATCTGCTCTTCTGTAGAAGTAATTTCAATAACCAAAATATTTGGTTCCTGTAGAAGAAATGGTAACATACCTTCCCACTTCTGCAAAGCTGCAGGTAGTATTGGTCGCAAGGCCCTCCAAAGCTTAGAAGCAGTGACATTTATTGAAAAATCTGCTGATGGTGGTACAAAACTCACCCAACAAGGCAGGCGAGATTTTGACAAAATTGCAGCGCAAATTAAAGCTAAGGAACGTAAAGCTCTTAAGGCCACTGTCCTTGCTTTGTAAATGATGACGCATTGAAGACTAAGATTTCTTACACTTAGAGAAGAAAAACTAAGAGAGCTTCTTCCTAGTCTATGTAGTCTATCGCAAAAGACCAAACTAGACAAGGTACTATAACCAATGATTAAAGGATATCCACAATAAATCTTAAAAAGTCGACTTGGAGTAGGCTACATGGCGTAAAGTCCTAACAAAATCTAATCTAACTATTAACCACAATAATGGGATCCAAATGTAGATGAGAGTATTTTATTTAGTATATTAAAATTCTAATTTATTTTTAGGTGCAACATTACGTTTTTAATAACTTTGTTGCCGTTTAATTATTTACTTCAAGTGATAGTAAATCTAATATAATCAATACCTATACAATTCAGTTAATGCTAGATAAAATAAAATGCTTATAAAATATGTATGTTAATAGTTTACTTACACTTCCGGTTGAAGAGTGGCCATGTATATCTGAGTACTGATCGAATCAACAGAACAATTGCTGCCTCCGCAAGTTTTGTAGCCGATATCTGGGTCAAAATAGTCTATGTCACCCTTCGTTATCCAGTAAACTGGAGCTCCGATCATCAATAACTCTTTCAGAAACTAAAATACAAAATTAATTAATATTTTTAAGACAATTAAGTTTTGCTCGATGATATTTATTGAAAAATCCTTACTTTGAAATACTTGAGGACATGGCTTCCTTCAGGCATAGAAAGCTCCTGTTCAAGTCCCACCTCTATGCTTGGAATGATCATAATTGAAAGAGTAAGAGTAGAAAAGAAAATAATCAGAATTACACAACTAACGGAAAAGCTGAAAATATTAAAAGAGAAGATTAGTGTTTAACTCGTCAAGTACAGCACTAGTGTCACAAGAGAATGATAATGACAGACGTCACAAGGTAATGATAATAACCGTTTTAAAGCGATCAACCGGTAATTTGCGGTATTTACCGTTTTAATTAAAGCGATTTTTGTTATCCTTGGTTACTTTCTATAACGTCATATTTAAGCCCTTTAAAACGTCATTAATTATAACCGGTAAATACCTGAGTCCAGATGTGGGTTATTAATGACAAGTGAAAGTGACATGCAATTAGTGTTTTTTGGTTAGATTATAGAATTAGCCCAGTCAAAATTGGAAATGATATTAGCTACGTAAATTATCAAAAAATTCTTCTGACCATGTAAAAAACGTCAAACTGTTCCTTATTAAATTCTAACATCCAGTCTACACAAATATAATTCTTTTTGGTAACATATCAACATCACACAATTTTATTCCGGCCAGTTTCATAAAATTGACCTAGAAATTAAATGTCAAAATTTCTTATCATATTCCTTAAAAACGATTGAACGTTAATGCGTTACAATAACCGGTTATCTTTTTAGGGCTTTACTCACGTGATTTCAAGGTTAACCAAGGGTATAACCATGGTGATTTCTGGTTCATCGCTTTAAAACGGTTAATGTCAGGTATCACGGACAATGATAATAATAGCTCAGGGATTCTTATTTTACGTGTCGAGTAGAGAGAAAGAAACGCAGTCTGTCGAATGAAGAGAGGCGTCTCGATACCACACGTATCGAAAGATGAGAATCCCACTATAGGTGTCACCAGACAATAATAATGACAGGTATCACCAGACAATCACCAAACAATTACAGGTATCACATAACAAATAAAACAAAATATTGAAAGGTTCTTACTTTAAAATGGCCGGTGTTATATAATTTTTCCATATATTAAACAAAATATCTTTGGACTCCTGTTTTTCTGTGTTTTTAACTTTAACGCAATATAGCACATCTAAACGATTACTCTGCAATAATAAATAAAAAATTCAATGGAATATAAAATAAAATACTTGTTAATGTAAATAAGAGATGGGAGTTTTAGTAAACTGCTATTTGACAACTGTTATTTGAGGCGTGTCACCACAAAAGACTCTTTATCCACTCTCACTAGTTTTCCAGAATTCGCGAAAAACTGTTTAACATAAATCTTGTGGTTGTAATAGATACAGAACCTCTTACAATTATTTTTACAAACCTGTAATATCAAAATACAAAAAGAAACTAAACGTTAAATGCCAAAAAGAGTTGTAAATTAACTTCAAAATTTTGATATAGACCCTTTTGCTGTAGCCAAGTGGATAAAGGAACTTTTGCGCCAACCGTATGAGGATATAGGCTGATTTGACACAATAATAATCGAAGTACAATGAAAAAGATTATCTTTATTTTGTCTAATAATAATTAGCAACTTGCTTACAAAAATATAACTTAAACTCTAAAAAACTGATAACGAACATTTTTAGTCAAACAAAGCTTTTCACACGTGACGTCGTTGCTTCGTTTTCTTGTTGTCACGGCATTATTATTATTATTATTATTTGTTCATGTATGTGAAATTTGCTTCTAAGGTTTATAAAATACTACTACTAGCTGCGTAAATGAAAACAAGTAAGACGCATTCACACAAACACCTCCCATCACAACAATATGACGTTTCGCGTGTATATAATTTTTTGATTTGTGTACACTTTAATTATTAAATGACTTAATATCGTAACAAAATAAGAAACATTGATGGATATCGAATGGATTATTTTTTGTGTCAAAATTAAAATAGAGTTGATGTTTTTTTATGAGGATAGCATATTGTATGCACAGTTTTTAGGAGTAAACAAGTTGTTATTATAAAAGGAGAAAGTAAACTACACCGTCTACAATACTACTACAATACACAAGTTTCCGTTACTTTTTATTTGTACTACTTACAAATCTGCAAAATTTCTAAATGTAACTATTTGACTATATCTGCAATCAACAGTCCATCACCAATAATTATCTAATTGCTGAAAATTATTATTATTAAATAAAGCACAATGTGATAGATTTAAAAAAATTAAACTTTACTTAGTTAAAAACGCTTACTTATAGTTATAATGATTTTAATAAAATAGGTATGTGTCCTCTCACAAATATTTTCAGCAAATAAATTTGTTTTAAGAAAATAACTCACAACTCAAAACTTACGTCAGAGAGGAAAAGTTACACTGCGACGCGATGGCATATAAAGACTAATTTGTTAATTTTTACCGGCACCGGTTGATATTTAAAACATTATAAGACAGATTTAGCAGATTTGAGCGCGATCACCGATCGACTAGTAAATAATGAAATAGCGGTAAGCACTTGAGCAGAGCAGTCGAACTAGATGTTGTGATGATTTAATAAACTGCTATTAAAAAGCTGCTATTTGAAAGCTGCTTTTTAGAAAAAGCAGTTACTGTTATAACTGTTCTTTAAAAATAGCAGCTTTGCCCATCCCTAATTGTAAATTAAAAAAAGTAGAGGACCTAAATAAGAACATCCAAAAACGATTGAATGTAGTGTAATTTGTATTTGTGGCTTACCTCATATCTTTGTTCGTCTAATGAGAGTAGGGCTACAAACGCTGTAATTTGTAGAATAAAATCTAACAAAATAGCTATTGTAGCATACATGGCGAATGTGTGTACTGCTGGCATAGACGACAACGTTCCTAAAAATAATGATAAACAATATTAAAAACAACATTTAATAAGTTTGAATAGTACTGTCAGCTGAATATAACCTTTGTTTTTGTAACTTGGAAATATTATAAGGAATGATCCAAGCACAACTCTTTAGTGTCATTTTGAATTCAATTCAGAGTCGTGCACAGTAATTACAGACGTGACTCGTATTTCTGTCTTAGTATGTTTTAGTATGTTCTCACCCAGCTAGCACATAACGTTGCCAAGCCTTTCGGCGATGTTGCATTAAGGGAACGTAATAACATTACTGTACAACGTAAATGCAACGTTCATGAGAACTTGTTGAGGGAAATCAAAACCTCGCAAAACTTCTATTTGTTATTTACCTAGTTAACCTACCGTAAACATTACAAATCTTGTCACTTGTCAGTTTTTCTTGTCAATTGTCTTTTTTAATGGTTTATTTTTTGACATCCAGAATTTATTTTATAAATAATTATTATTTATACATTCGAATAGATTTGGTAAGGGTCCTCTATAAAATAGATAACTATTTTCTAAACCATTGTCTTTGTTCCAGATTACAATGCCCGATGTAAATTTATTATTTCATTCATTAAGTATCTTTAGCAGTCGATGCCCATGACACCAAATAAAAAAAACTACAATAAAATCAAAGAATTGCAGATCAATCGTTGTAAACCAGAAGATAAACATTTAACCGAATGTCCGGCAACATTTTACACCAAATACTTATAAAAGGTAATTATTCTTTATCGAACTAAAAATACATTTTAAAAATATTATTTTTTAGGTTTCCTTCGACATTCTAGGAATTTTAGAAGCAAAAGTAAATACTACAGAAGTGTAAAGAAGAATATAACACCTGAAGTTTTATAAAAAGTGAATCTATAGGTACATGATATGTCAGGTATATCAGAATTCAAGCAGTTCATTCTCTTCAACAGGCTAGATTGCCTGGAAATGCAACCATCAGTTCAAGTGAAAACCCAGCAGAAAAGTTGAAAGAAATCATAGATGATACTCTCGAGTATAATAGAATATCTTGCTAAAAAACACCAGTTGTTTTTTATAAAATCTACATATCGATGGCTCAATCAAATACTGCCACAACTAAAATACTATTATTTCGAGAAATTTCATTTTGAAATTTTGTAAGTCTCTATTATCATTATTTTGTTTTTGACATACTCCTTATATTTTATTTAAAAGCTTCGATATTTTGCTGTTAAATAAAATGATTACGATTATAAAAGTGAGTTGTTGCATAGTTTTAAAAAATTTGGGTGTTTTTGAAGAAAATAACTCGAATTGAGGCAGTTTTAGACACAGTTTGTGGCTACATTTTAAATGATTTATCTTTAAGGATATTTTTGTTTGTGGTGGTATTTAAAGTAAAACCGTAATGATATTTTGCATCCATTGAACCAAAAATGTAATTGCTTTGTTTTTTGACTTGTGACGGTTTTTGATTGAGCCATCGATATATCTACTTTGGAAATCAAGCATAAAATTTGTAAAATTCAAACAAATTTCAAAACACTAACATTGGTTGTTTTATTTAAAACAACAAAGTAAGGCATATTTTTTTATTTCTATATAATTTCCTTTAATTAATAATAGGTAAACAAGTTATCAATTTCTTTTTTATTCAATGTATTGAGAAGTAAAATCTTTTTATATAAAAATATAATTTATGCTCTTCTAATAAATTGTCATAGTTAGGTTACATTATAGCACTTTATAAATATCTATGCAAAAAAAGTTAAAAGGCTTGATTTAAAAAAGATATATCTCTGCGTCTTAGGTAAGAAATCAGCGAACTTAGCTATCCTCTAGTAATCTAATATAATAATATGTACCTAGTCATTGTTGTATTCGTTTATTATTTTTCACCAATCTAGCTTTATCATCGTTCACCATTTAAGGTTTTAGTGAACCTTTGCAATATTGGTACCTTATTATACTATTTAGCTAATTTTGTCCAATCGTTCAGTGCTTTCTAGGCAGCTTCTTCTATCCCACATATGTACTTGTGTTTGTGATATAAGGTGTGTTCTTTTATTCAATAATTGTTCCTTCAGTGATTGATGTAATTTATCTATTCTGCAGTCGTTTTATATTTGAACTCTTATATTTTAGGTTAACTTAAATGATTGATTATCCTCACCATTCGTCTATCACATATCCATCAGCTTTTAAAGCCGATGGATGCCTTGGCTCATTGGTGAACTCACCGCTGGAAAAAAGAATGATTGACACATACAATCGTCTTTCCATCACTTAATTTACGAACGGTTTGCTGCAAGCGCTGGATACAGCACTGAATAAAAGAACCCGCCTACACCTACCTCTACTTTTGTGCTATTGGTACTTGATTTCAAGAACATTTTAATAATAAATTTATATAAATATTTTGTTTTATTTGAAATTTTCATGTCTCGATTGAGATTTTACTATAGCCTCAATTTCAGCCTCTCTGTATTACATTACACAATGTGTGTCCACGGATGGACTTAATTATACTTGTAAAAATATTTATTTTAAATTAAAGAAAAAGTTATTTTTCATAATTTCTCAATGTGAATCGAATTTATTTAACAAGCAAGAAATTATGAGGAATTACTTTTTTAATTTAAAATAAATATTTTCACAAGTATAGTTAAGCCCGTCCGTGGACACACTGTATAATGCTGTAGATCTAATTCACATTATAACATCAATAGAACGTTTCAGAGCAACTTTCGGGGTAAGTACCGTAAAAGTGATAGTGTCATGTTTTTCGAACTTCACTTTGTAACTTCTGTAAGATGTGCTATAAAAGTCTTGCCGTTGCGGACATTCGGTAGTTGCAGGGAGATAAGGGTTACATTTACAGTACATTGCATGCGAGCTTAAAGAGCCTAAAATTGCAGCTTATTAACGTAGATGGGATGTTTTTGTGCTAGCTGGGCATAGCCTACTTAAAAAACTTTTTCTGTTGATCGCTCTTTATAAAATGTGTACGCAGCAACTTCACGCGACTGTCAAATAATAAGGAATCTGTATTACCGATGAAATTAATTATTAGCTGTTTTGAACCACAATGAATTTACATTAATATATGTAATATATACTAATTTTGTAATCTTACCTATACCAAAACAAAATATCTCGGAAGCGCTAGTTAACAACATACTTGGTCCAACTTGGGACATGGTTTGCCCAATATTTTCCGCTATTGACAGGTTATCATCCCTAAAAACAGTGTTTATAAATACTCAGTCTATATTCACATAAAGTCTTATTTAAAATGATCTACAGGTTTTTCTTCTATTACAAATTAAATTTTGTATAATTATTATCGTTTTCCGTCTATATGGTTACCTTTTTCTGCGCTGATGCGTTTGTACAATTATAAATATATTATCTACGCCGACAGCTAGTACCAAAAAAGGTACCACTTCAACGGTTAACATCGTTGTGATAACACCGAAATATCCACAAATTCCGATGGCTGATCCAACAGAACTAAAAACTATTATAATACCTCCCATAGCTAGCGAAAATTTGGATTCGAGCTAAAAAACAAACAAAAAATAAAAAGTAAATAAATGTCGGAGCAAAATGAGAATGAGGTCATTGAACCAACTCATTCATATTTTTAATTCAAAAACAATTTATATTAAATTGGGAACTTATCTTATAGAAAGCAATTATACCTTTATGGCTATTTAAAAGTATAGTTACCATAATATGCTTTATTGTAGTGAACCTTCCCAAAGTTAATGTAATGTAAACGAACATAACAAAGTAACTAATCAGAACGGTTGACACTGTCGACTTTGAGAGTTCTTCGATCTGATCCTGTATGGATCTTTCAGCGCTGTAAGCGATATCCATGAATTCCGGTCTTTCCTCTTTATCCCATTTTTCCAAGAGTTCGATAAATCTAAAAAGGCATATAGGTATATCTAACATGCAAAGTAACAAGAAACAGTGACGTCTTCAGTCCCGTTGTGGATGAGTGACGGCTGGCGCGTTCTACCATTGACGATGTGGAATGAATGACAGTGTAAATAAGTGAGTGAATGGGAAAGTAGTAGGCCCTTCAAATTGTGGGACAATAAGGCTGCGGTGACGCCACGCTACAAACGGATTAGGGTGATAACACGACGAGTTCGAAGGGTTCAAGAAAAAATAAGAAAAATAGCAAAAAATAGAAATAATGCAAAGCAGTAGATGTTGAACGGACCTTAACAGGTGGCGCAAAAAATTACTATACGAAGTAAATATTTCCGTATCCTTGTATAAAATTGTAAAAATATTTATAATTCAAAAGAAGCTTACCGTTTTTCCCAAATCAAGGTATCAGTTAAATCATCTTTATTCAAGCTGTTCGATGTCAAAATTGTAATAGTTACACCAACGGCATCAAAATAGTTGTTTTCTTTGCTTGCACCGCCTAATGCTAGACCTGGAATAATGGGTCCACCGTACGGTGCCAGACATTGGATACTGTATGGCGCTCTGCAAAGAAGTAATTAATTATTAAATAAGTACGGATTTGTCAGATATTACTTTACTGTATACATTTCAAACGCCAATAATGTGTCACAGTCTAATGGGATATGCGTGAAAAGTAACATTCAAATAAGCGTTGTAACCAACGATGAACAGCTATTAGACTAATTTTGTTTCCAAGCATTCAAATATGCATTGTAACCAACGACGAACAGATACCAGACTAATTTTGTTTAAAATAATTCAGGGTATTATCCACGTAGTTGCCAAGCTATTATGTATTATTGTTTATGGTTATAATTTGGAATTGTCTTAAGGCTCTAAGACGCAGCTTTCATAATTACATTAAAGAAGTATATTTATATTCATAGTGCCAAATATTATCTGCTTACTGTCTTTTTCTGGTTGTAGCTATCATTGTAGCTGAATGTGATTAAAGAAAAGTACACCATTTATTTACTGTGTGGCAACAGTTTAAAGCAAAAAGGATAGTAGTCCAATTAGGTTCATTTATAAATTGAGTGCTCGCACCTCAGATAAACAAGCTTGAACTTACCATCCTCTCTCAATTTAGGAGCCTCTTCGCTCTTTGTAATGCGCAACCGATACCATAGTTATGTCTGTCTAATATAAAACAAAATAGGAATGCTTACAATAAATAAGGGCTTAATTGTGAATGAACGGAATAGTATAAAAGTTGTTTGTCCTTGGTTGCAACTAATTTTAATTGCACTTTTGCGACTTAAGCTTGGCAACTTCGCCGAAGTTTGTAACATTAACGAAATTTTCAAAATTTGTGAAATCTGCGAAATTTGCGAAATTTCAAAATCTATTAAATCTATGAAATCTATGAAATCCATGAAATCTATGAAATCTATGAAATCTATGAAATCTATGAAATCTATGAAATCTATGAAATCTATGAAATCTATGAAATCTATGAAATCTATGAAATCTATGAAATCTATGAAATCTATGAAATCTATGAAATCTATGAAATCTATGAAATCTATGAAATCTATGAAATCTATGAAATCTATGAAATCTATGAAATCTATGAAATCTATGAAATCTATGAAATCTATGAAATCTATGAAATCTATGAAATCTATGAAATCTATGAAATCTATGAAATCTATGAAATCTATGAAATCTATGAAATCTATGAAATCTATGAAATCTATGAAATCTATGAAATCTATGAAATCTATGAAATCTATGAAATCTATGAAATCTATGAAATCTATGAAATCTATGAAATCTATGAAATCTATGAAATCTATGAAATCTATGAAATCTATGAAATCTATGAAATCTATGAAATCTATGAAATCTATGAAATCTATGAAATCTATGAAATCTGCGATATGATAGAAACAACGATGCGTTTTGCACTTTTAATTTGTTGAAAGCCACTACTACGATTATTAATTTATTCTCTTCAATAAATGTAAAAAAAAATATCTACGATTCACAAAAAAAACGATTTGCTTTGTAATAGAAATTTGTTGAAAGCCGGATTCTATGATTAAAGTTTATTTATGGTGAGAAAGTTGCAAAATCTTCGATACAATAAAAAAGCTTTCATAAGTTACGCTTTAGAAACATACAAACATGGTTTGTTGGAAAACTACGTTAGTATAACGCCATAAAGAATAAAAACACCGCAACGCTCACCGTCTTAAATTTGTTTGTTACTTTGGCACCGATTAGATTTACTGTCCACAGGTGCTTATTTGTCATTAGAAACCTTTTACTAATTTTGAATTTTTGTGAAAATTTCGAAGTGGTTCTGTTTCCATTTTTCTGTTTGTTCTACGAAAAGAGCGTAATGGTTTCGGAATTAATTCGAGAACGAATTAATGGTCAGCTTGGCCGTGTAATAATTTTAAATTAGATAGCGATGGATCGATAATATTTATTCGAAGTATATGGAACGGAGCAGGTACATGCCTCTTAAAAAAGTGACGGCCAAGGCATTAAAGTGTCTTATTTATTAGCCATAACAGTTATTTGTTATGTTATAATTATGTATCAAGTTCCTAGGGCAATCTGGCCTGAAAAATAAGGGACACTTATAGTTCGGCTGTCTCAACGGAATGTCGATTTTACTTGTTTTGTGTTTAATTTTGGAAATAGATTCATTTGATAAAAATATCGTATTTTCTTACATACAGGTATATATTCAAATTTGACTTACTGCAAACAACCAATGATGGTTTCGTAAACTTGAGTGATATTTTGATTTACGAATTCGTCTATGTCGTTATTGAACAATCCCAACAAAGATATAACAGTGCAATCAGATATATTCGGTTTGGAGAAAATGGTTCTTAATGGCGAGAAGCATATGCTTCCCAAGTCCTTGATTTCGGGGTCGCCATTTTCATCGGTTGAGTTAAACGTGATCTGAAACACAATTTAAAAAATAATGTTTGTATTTTTATTATTCTAACTGGTTGTAGAAAAAATAGCTATTAAAACACTCATATTCACTACTCGTGTTTTAACAGTTATTAAATGCTCATTATACTAGACTTACGTTGTTAATAATATTTGTTTGAAGTGCGAAGACTTCTCTTAAAAATTCCGTGTTAAAAGCCGGTCCAAATGTGATTTCTCCACCAAATTCTGAATTAAAAGTAAACTGAAAACGAAATGTAAAATAATTAATTTCATACAAGGTGGTCCACAATGTTTGCCCGGGTTAAATTTATTGTATAAGATAGAAAAAAGATTTGTGTGAAGAATTTATAATTTAAATAACGAAAAAATCTCAAAGACTTTTGTTACGGTAAGTCGCAGTATTTTATAAATATCTTAAGGGTCATGGTCAGGTATTCTCACTTTCTGGGCCCCTGGCCCCCTGGCCCAATTAAGGCTTTACAACAACCCTTTAATATAAAGGGGCGTTTCAGACTGTCAAAAAATTTAATAGCGACCATTTCCTTGCAGGAAAGAAATACTCCTAAAGACAGTCTTTGGGATTTATATTTTTTACATCATGGTAAAATTTTAAAGGTTTATTAAATCTATTTGTCATGACAAATTAAGTTATTAATATGATCTGTAAATTTAGAACTTCATTCCTTTTTTTTACGGCTGATCAGGACCAAGAAAGATCAGTAAGAAACCCCAAGAAATATCAGTAATAAGCTACAAAAAATATATGCAGCTGATACGGTAGCGAAACAGTATGAACATAACGTGTTATTTTCTTTCTAGGCTCAATCCAATACGACATATTAGCACAGCTTATACAATACAGCTAAAACACTCTCTTGGCGGCAACGGTTTGCGTCGATTTCGTCGCGCATCGCTTAAGCTCCGCCTTCGGAGGGAAAAGACGGTTTTGGCGTTCAGAAGCGTACTTAGGTAAGGTGTTGAGTCGTGCGTATAATTTCGTTGATTGTATAATTTCGTGGAGCCTATAATTTCGTTGATTTTGTTTGAGTTAAAGGTACTGTTATTATATTGGTGACTTTTTAGCTGTTAGTAGAATGAGCGAAAAAAAAGACATAATTCTGTTTGTGCAGTCAAAAGCTGTTTTAATAAGGGTTATACCTGCAAGAAAACATTCTTTAGTTTTTCCAAGGACCCAAACCGATAAGTACCACATTATAAGAAATTTTCATTGTTAAAAATATAATTTATACAGGGTGTCCCATTAGTGCGTTATTGTTCAATATTTTGTTGTAGACACGCAAAAAAGTTTTAAATAAAAGTTATATGGATTTGAAAAATACCTACATATTTTAAAAATATCTTTGGATATACAGGGTGTCACGTTTTTGCTTGGCAAATTAAAATGTATGTTTTTTAAATGGAACACCTTGTATTTTATTTTATGATGAAATTATTAACACTCTAAATTATTGTAAAGACGAGTTGCTAAAGAAAAATTTTATCAGGTATGTATGTGGTTACCTTTTAATAAAAGCCTTGCGGATGCACTCCTGTGATACCTGTCCTAAATATAACAAAGATCACGTTGAATTAGATGATTTTTCTTTTTATTGCTTTTTAAAGGTATATGATAACGCCAATTCAGATACATTTGGAAATCTGCAACTGTGAAATGATGAATTTGTAGAACTAATATTCAATATTGAAAAGATATTTCAAAATAATTTTGAAGAATTGGCTACAAAAAATAACATTTGTACCACACTTTTAGAATTAATTAACCCAATACCCTTTAGTCATCCATGCTAACGTTTTCCAAAAGAATAACCTATTTTAATGTATGTTTAATCTCAATAACTAAAAAATATACTGACAATTAGTTTGACAGAATTGTCATTTATTTAAAATTTTAAAAATAATAGCAGTCGGTCGATCAAAATATGAACGGCGATTGGGGAATTTTTTTTTGCAGTGTTCCCACTACCTAGAATGGATATGAAATATATTCGTTCAATTGAAGGCAATAGCATACTTTTTCGTTTTGTAATCTGTGCATGGATATTAGCCAATCTACGCACATACTACAAAACGAAAAAGTATGCTATTGCGTTCAACTACGAATATATTTCATATCCATTTTAGGTAGTGAGAACACTTTAACAAAATTAAATCTACAAATCACAGTTCATATTTTGGTCACCCAACTCCTATTATTTAAAAATTTTTAAATAAGTGACAATTCTGTTAAACTAATTGTCAATATATATTTTAGTTATTGATATTAAATATACATTAAAATTTTTGTGTAGACTCGATAAATAATAGCATTTTTGTTTTTATTGTCCAACATTTAAAAAAAAAATTTAACCAAACTACATGATACTAATTTAATTACGAGTATTAAAACAAAAGTCCTGAAAGTTTCGGTGAAGATGAGGACAGAGCATCTGCCTTCCACGCGAAAAGTCCGGGATCGAATCTAGGCCGAGGACTAATTAATTTTTCATGTTTATTTTATTTTATAAATTAGTTAACTTCGTAAATTATTTTAATATTAGTTATTTTGTCTAAATAACCTAAAATAAGTTTTTAAGTTTGTAGATTTTCGTTAATGGGTCGTAGAAAAAATATACTGACCATATCGAGTGGATTGTTCATATCACAATCAAACGAATGAGTACTCCACCTACGACGTCGTGCTCAAACTTCGTCTTTGTGTGATATGGCTATCATATCCCACCCTTGTTGAACAAACTACTATTTATTTGTTTTCTTGGTTTAAGTTTTACATCAGAAATAGGAACTAAATTAATTTACTTTTCAAGTTTTCTTGTAAAAATCGATTTTACTTTCTCCAAGTACAAATTTAGTACCTACCTAAAATAAGTACCTACAAATTATGTAATTTCGTATAATATTGTAATTCAAATTTCACATTATTATAAAGTTACAAAATTCCCTACTTCGGTATGGTCAGATAAAAATTGAATATATAATATTAATAAAAACTGTCAAAGTATTACTTCTACAAATCTGTATTTCAATTAATAAGAATACATCTAAATATAACCAATATTGTTAAAATAAAAGCACAAATTCTTTATAATTCCAAAATACCATAGAGTTCCCAGACCTCAGTCGAAGCTTCGTTTATTTAGGTATAAACCCTTTGCGCGAAGAGTAACACTTGCCAGACACACGGGGTACCACTTTATTTGCATCCACGAGCGTGACAAAATTCTTTAACAATTGAAGCCCTTGGTGTAAAAAGGATCCAAGACACAATTTGTCGTGAAGTGACTGTTTTAGGTCAAAACATTTGTTAACGAGGATTTTACTAGCCACATACAAATTATTTTACCTCTAATCCGAAAGATGTGCTATTTTTCGTAATATTTATATTTAAATAATTTTTTTAATTATACTTGACAGATTTAAAACAAATTAAAAATTTAATTTCCCAAAACTTACTTAATATGGCATGTAACCAACCTTATTACGCCAAGGTTTTCAATTTTTTCAATAATAAAAAAATTGTTTAATCCGGGCCCGACTTTTCCCTCGAATCTAACAGAGATAGCACCATTCCGACTTGCTTGGTTCTCGTACGCCAGATCAAAGATGCCGACACGGAGTTGTGGAGCTGTATTGTATAAGCTGTGATATTAGAGAGTTGAAGTGTTTTCAGTACATTAACGTAAACGTGAACGTAAACTCAGAAAAATTTTTACGTTGCAGTACAAAATATGAGTTGAAGTTTTGTTTTATATAATTTATTGGCCTACATAGCTAAGATGATACAGCCATTTGGTAACAACAGGTAAATAATTACAATATTTTACAGCTTAATTTTAGACATTTGTATAAATTTTGATATTTTTTTAACATTACCGAAAGATAGAAGTTTAAACAATACATCAAAAAGTGTAACAGGTTTTATAAAATTTTTTGGAACATCTAAACTATCTAAAAATGTATAAATATTATAAAAATTATTTTGACAATTAAAAAAAATATGTTGTAAATCCTCCCGTTCTCCACACGTACACCTATCATTTCCTTTTACACCTATTTTCTTTAGATGCATCATACTTAAACAATGACCGCTTCTTAATTTGCATACGGTACTTATATCCCTTCTATTCAAAATTTTTATTTTTGCAAACCACGGTCTCTTTAATGGAATTTGAATTACTTCTCCATATAGTTTCCCTTTAACTTGGCATATCACTTTATATTTCTCCTCCCATTTTTTCCATGTATTGGATTTAAAAAAAGGCAAGAGTTCACTATGATGCACCCTGGCATTAATATTTAATATTTGCAGTCGGCCTTTTTTGGCCAGTTGTTAAACGCATCGTGACGTTTACGTGTAATGACAAATAATGACAATTAATGACAATTTTTATTGGGATTTCTTCTTTTCCAATTAAAAAGAGGTTATTTTAAAGACGGATCTTTAAAAACGCCATTAATATTTTCCAAAACCACATTTGCTGAGGTAGGTGCTAAATTATTACGTCTCAGTTTTTGTTTAAGTGAAGACCAAACTAATTCAATTGGATTAAGTATACAATAATAAGGTATTAACCACCATACAGTATGAACACCATCTTTTGCAAAGTTATCAATATAATACTGTATTGAAATATTTTTACTTTCAACAATTTGTATCAATTGTGGTTTTGTTTTTACGGAAGCATCAATATCAATGTTATTATCTTTTAAATACTTTATTATATCTGATTTCTTAGCCACTATTTGGCTTCTTGTGAATTTGCCGTGAATTGTCCATTACAATGACTGAATTAGGTGAAATATTCGGTAAAAGTTGTTCAGCAAACCAGTTCTCAAAAACTGCTGCATTCATATCTTCACGATAATCCAGCAGAGCTTTATTGATATTTTTTGCTGAAAATAACAAAGCGTTTGGTACAAAGCCATTTCCGGCATGTAAAATTATGACTCATTTCCCCTTCGAGCATGGTGCATTTAAAACACAATTTTGTGAACCGTCTGCCCAACCACGTTGAACGACATCATGAGTGTCGAACCACGTTTCATCTAAATAAACTATATTTCTCTTACTATTTTTAAATTTAAAAATTTCCCCTAAATAAATTTGATGTAATTCCACAATTCGACTAGATTTCATAATGCATATTCGACTGTCTAACTTTTTATATTTAAAACCACAAGTTATTCTGTAAAAAGTATCTCTATGGTTGGGACTTGGTTTCTTTACACGTGTTGTAAACCGTTCGTCGAATGACATCTTTAGATGCATCATCTATCCGATGGCTGACGACATGTTTTCTTTTTTCACTGTGTTTAATCCACAACGCCTCGTTTAATAACGAAATAAATTGTGAAGTAGGGAATTTTTGTTAACTTACATATTCTTTTTACTGCATCTGTTGGTGAAATATTTGGATTTTCTGATTTAAGACAAACATTAAAAACAACATGTTGAACTTGAATATGTAAGTCCTGATTTTGAATTCCCAAGATTCTGTTTCACCTTGATTGTCATTAGTATGAATTGCATTAATACGTATTTCATCATTAATTTGTACTACATTTAATTGTACTTAATCATTATTCTGAATTTCATTATTTATTGGAATTTCATTATTAATATGAATATCATAATTAACCTGCAATTCATTAGCTTCTACATTTACCTCAAAGGGTCTCCAGAAAGCCATCTCATACAACTAAATTTAACAGAAAGACCGAAAAATAAAAATAAGTTTAACAAACGCTTTGATAAAAATTTCAGGCCATGCACGCTACTGAACAAAGATAGAACAACTGAAGCAGCCAGGCACGCTAGCAATTCTGACCACTTACTTGTGGACTTAAGTGGGCCACATAAGTGCTATTTGCGATTCAAGCTAAGTGATACGCCCTCTGGAGGAAATTTGTAGAAGGTCCGTATAACTAGGATATCGTTCACTGTTGCCAGAAGTAGCAAAACTTCGCTACGTCGTCAGATTTTAGCTCTTGAAGAAGTGGATAAGACCTTTTATTTAAGAATCAAAATTTGTGTATGGTAATATGTTATCATACTCTATATTTATTTAAGGATTTTTTTATAAAACTGATTTATTATATTGATTTTTTTTATATTTCAGTTCATTTATTAATTTTGATTTAAAATCAGTTTATCATTTGGCAACATTGGCGTTCGTGTTCATTGTTTACATTTTAATTTGTATCAATTACAATTCGAGTTTTTTTCTTACTTTTTAGCTTTAAATTTGTTTATTTCTTATAGCGTGTGATAGTGTTTATATTAAAAATGAAATCTGCGAAAAAGTCCCCAGAAAATTGCAATCTATATGGTGTTAATGTCAAAATCAAAACTGAAGTATTCATTACTTTCCAAGTACAAGTCGTAAAATTTTGTTTTTTACGATAAATGGATATCTACAAATTCACAATATTGAAATTTTACAAAACTTACTGTAATCTTATTTTTTGACGGTTTTATTATCATTTACATGTATACAAAGTACTACATGATTCACTTCATAATATAAGAATAAGTCTAGTAAGATTTTTAAATAAATTCATCCATAATAAACGTGTGGTACCTGAAATGTCCTTTAAACCACATAATAAAACATGTCCTGGGTTTAGTGAATACATATTTCTAGATGTTCTTGTAGCAACCAATAGGTGAATATTTCCAACAAATTAAGTCATACACATGATAAATATTATATTTATGACGAAAGCACGAGACTTAAACTTAAATTAACACTAAATAAAACTCAAAAACACTATTACAATGAGAATATTATCTAAAAACAGTTAAAAAAAATCACAAATACAAAATCCGCCCAAAACAAAAACATGTACTTATAGATGACAAATGACAGGCGCGCGAAAATTAATTTGAATCGCCAATACCAAGACAATTCGCGCTTATTTTCAATGTTAGGGTATAGAATTCGTAATATTCTCAACGCTTATATAGCGAATTATTACGCACTCCCGGTATAAATATCTTTGTTGAATTGAGCCTAGAAAGATTATACATCCCATTCTTTCCCATTGTGTCTAGAAGCAACTTCTGCTTATATTTGGTAATAAATTTAGTATAAAAAATAGAACAAGTTCTAATTAATTAGTATGTTTATTTAGCAACTAAATTTAGTACTGAAAATAAAAATTTGGTACCTATTACTAAATTTTAAAAACATTGTAAATACACATCTCTATACAATTACGCAATATCTGACAGAATACGTACCGATTCCAGGCCCACGGCTTTGATGAAAATCTGGTTGGTTCTGTAAAAAGGTCCGAAATACGAGTCGTAGAAATCCTTTTGTATTCTACTGGTACTTTTCGGAGCGGCCCAAAGTTCGACCGGATCCGTCGTGACTTGCAAAAAAAGTGATCCCGATGCCAACATCGACACCCCGATTAAGCACATTATTAATACTTTTATTCTTTTTTCGGCAACGACTAAAAAATGAGATGAAGATAATTGATTGGCCATCTAAATTGTACGTAAACTCCAGTTCAGTAGTAAAAAGTAAAGAAAGAAGCTCGCGCTTTGAGCTTTAGACCCGTACCAAACAAACATATTGTGAAGGGGAATAAAAGGCTCAATAACTGTTATCCTCCAATAAAATTGTAATGATGGCCATTTAACTTTTATAGTCAAAAAGCCGGCATATATAGGTCACTACGGCCGACATTTGGGCTGAAATCACTTAGCATCAAATCCAGTTAACTATAAATTCTATACGACGTATTGTAGTGGGAAGGCGTGGCTTTTACGTTTACGAATTTGAGTTAACAGCTGATCGAAAACAGGGCGCGAAAATAAATTTTAATATTCTCATGGCCAATCAGTCATATTCTACACCACAATACGTCATGCGAAAACTCGACGAAATTTCGTCGGCTAAGTATCATACCTATGAAATTTTTTGTATCATGTATTTCAGTAACCTACATTATCAATTTGGCAAAATATTTTTAATTCGTCTGTATACAGGGTGTCCAGAAATCTCTTCAAAGAATAAAACCACCAAATCTAAAGCTGATTTTATAACGATTTAGCATAAATTACTTTAATCCAAAAATGATGCCAAAGGGAGCTAGAGCTCTTTGAAGATAGCGCTCTAAAATCGGTTTAATTGAAATACCTTCAAAACGGATTTTTATTAAATGATATTATTCTGTACATTTATTTATTTATTTGAATCTATCCAATTAAATTTGGTAAATAAGATTTTTTTAATGTAGTCATAAGCGGCTCGTTTGGGTGGGGTATTGGATATTTTTATTCAATTTTTTTGCCTTTCAAAAGCTTGCCATTTAGAAATAAAATTTAAAAAATCTTATATTTTCACACAAAAATGGTGCTGTTATCTGAGAAAAATCGACCTAAACTTTTCATGTCTTTACATACTGTTACGCAGCACCCTCCAGCGTGCTGCGGTCGTCATAAGTAAAGGTACGAGTAAATGAAGAAGATAGAATAGTCCAGAAAAGTCTCTAAATGTCATAGAAAAATCCAGATTGTTCGAGAAGGTTCTAGAAGGTTGAGGCAAGCTACATAAGTCGACGACCTGACGTCAGAGTTTCAGTTTTATGACAGACGTTATACGTTAATATTATCAGTTGGATAGTTATTGTTGAATTGAGTTATTGTAAAAGTTGAGTTGCAATAAATTGTGATCAAAAACCAGCGTAACAATACGTTTTCATTAATTAACATATAAATTTCAAAATTATGATAAGGTGGCCACGGAAAATAAACAAATTTGCTAAGAATTGTATAAATACATATTAAACTGTTTTTACCCAAACTTTAGGTAGGTACTCAAAAAAATGTTTTCAATTAATGACTGTTCTTTTCTGAAGTAAAAAAATCAATTCATGTAAAAATTAAAGTTTCTGTTGATACAATTTGTTTAAAAAAATAATAATAACGAAATGATAACTGAAAGTATTAAACACAAAATTAAATCTAAAGCAGATACTCCACATGACCGCAATCCGTTTCTATGCACAAATTTATTGGTTTCCGTAAAGATCGCCGAATTTTTGCAAACATTCCCATATTATTTCCAAATTCGTTGCAAACATTCTGAATTCGTCTCCAAAGGTGATTCCTCGATTCAATTGGTTACGAACAAACCATTGATTTGAGATATCCCTATACACAAAAATCGCATGGATTTAAATTTGGAGACCTCGCAGGTCAAGCAACGGGACCGCCTCTTCCTATCCATCGGTCTCGGTAATTATTGTCTAAAAACTCACGAACATTCCTTCTAAAGTGAGCTGGACAACCATCATGTAAACACCACAAGTTCTGTCGAATATTTAAATTAATGTCTTCCAATAAATCTGGTAGTTAAATATTTTGTAAAAAGTCGAGATAATTCTCACCATTTAAACGATTGGGTGATTTTATCTATACATTGATGCTAAATCTTTCCTAATGTTTAGTTTCTTTTATAACATGAGAATTATCACCAACATAAGAGTAGTAATGTGCATTAGGCATATTAAAAATTTAATCTCTTGTGAAAATAGCTTCATCAGAAAACAAAATCTTTAAGAAGAAGTAATGATTTTGATTTTCTTGCATTCGCAACCAAATAGAAAAGGCCACACATACAGGCAAATCACCATCATTAAGAGACTGAAATGCATTTTCCCGAAGGACAATGTTCCACACAGACGATTTAGAAATATTAGGATAAGTTGCAATTAATCTTTTTATCTTAATCTTTTTCAGGCTTTTCCTTGATTTCCATTAAAATATCATTCTCATATTCCTCGAATACGTCAGCATGTCTATCAGCTTCGTTGTTACTGGGAATTGCAGATCAATGTTTTTGAAGCAGGATGTCTCTTATTTGGAAATTTCTCGGCATACCTACGTGACGCTGCCATCGCGTAACATTGCATTTCACCATACATTAAATGCATTTCAGCATATTCTTCATTACTAAACCGAACCATCTTTAACTTTCAATATTATAAAAATTAAGATAATTTTAAACAATAAGTAACACAAAACTTACTTACGCTATGAAACCCCAGTCATTTGACATTTATATAATTGTTATTTCGTTTGTTTTCCACAGCCATCTTATCATAATTAATTTATTGGGACCGTGCGTCATGACTTTAACGCCAACTGGTGATAAAAATGTGAACTTTATGGGGGATATTTATTAATGTTTTATACGGCATTTATTATTTAGTAATTATTAATTAAATAAAGTCGAATTATTTTCGTAATATCATTATCGAAAAATCTGTTGCATCCGTGGGTATAAACACATCACTTTGAAAACCTGAATTTGATTCTATAGTAAAGAAATTTTATAAATTTCCACATAGCACACTTAGTGTCTCACACACAATGATATACATAATTACATAGATTGCTTATTCATCTGTAAATCAGACGACAAAAAGCGTATTTCACTGGACAAAGTTTTCTTTTTATCTATCTTATATCAATTTTGTGCACTTAGTTGTAAACAAATCATTTACAGAACCGGTTTAGAAATTAGAATCTTTAGTGTTTTTTTTATCATTAAAATTTTTACATATTTAAATGAACATTTTATATAAATATAATTTTACAGATAATTAATGGTTTATTCTGTTAATTAAAAATAATGTAAAATGTTACTGTGAAATTAGAATGTCTAATTTGACAAACATATCATGGCCCTCTTTACAATTTATTAACTATTTCTCATTTATTACTAAAATAAACATCATAATTAATACATTGCAATTACTGTCAAAAGAGATTACAACAAACTTTAATATATTAAAAATCCAGTAATTTTTTGTAAAAAAATTTTAGTAACATTACCATTAAACATTACTCAGAATAATAGATAATTGTCTAATTACAACTCTTACCAAAGTTGTTTATATCTCATATCAAAGTTGTTTACATTACCTTTTCAAAGTTGTATTACATATTGCAATTATTTGTTTTATATAGCGTTATTTCTGAAATGAGAGTGGCCCAAAACTATTTTCATCCATCCTTACAAAAAATGTTTAGATCTCTTAATATTATTTAACTACATGGAAACTAAACTCTCAAAATACACAATAACGTGGCTTGAAGTAAGTAATTATTTTCTTTTTCTAAAGATTAAAACGCTGAAATTTTATTTTAAAACACTTTTGGTTAGAACGGTTCTATTTCGTGGCAACTAGGAAAGGCAATATAGCAGTGCACATTGCAACCTGCATTTCGTAATCTTTTTTATAGATGGGTGAGCAATCTATATAATTATGTATATCAGTGGGTGTCTCATAAACGTCTAAGCAAAGTATATTAAGGTTTATATGGACCCACCTCCTCACTCGTTTCTGACTCTAGAGATGGCTCTACCTGTCGAATCAAATTTAGTATACAATTTATTAAAGTTACAGGGTTCTATCTGTGATAGAATAATATTTCGTTAGTTTATATCGCCGCCAAAAGAGACTGCTAGCACAATAATAGATTACGCGGGAGATCTTTATGATTCGATGCGAAGAACGTTGCCAAACTTCAATATAATTATGTTTTATTTGTTTATGTTGTAAGCCGCGGGAGGTGAGGTGTTGAGCGCGGACGGCCCAAGCGATCCAGCTAAGAGATGGATATGACCTGGCGAGCTTTTGTTAAGTCTTCCACTGGTCCGCTCAATCATTCTCAACTATGAACTTTACTGAAATAAAATTATTTAGGGTGAGCGCATTATTCTTAAAATATGGTATAAAATTAGAACAATATAATCTATGTGGTTTGGCGAATGGACTCAGTTCGCGCAGTCAAAAAATTGAAATAAAAAAAACTGACTGGAGGATACGTTCGCGCGCTATGGTTGGGTACTATTAAATAATTAAATGAATATTAAATAATTTCAATGAAATCTATCCATAATTTTAAAGGTGAGAAGAGAAAGAAAAAAAAATAGACAGAAAGGGAAAGAAAGAAAGAAAGAAAGAAAGAACGTAAACAAAAGCTCAAGAAATGCAAATTCCAGACGATTCAATGTACACCTCAGGTATACATTTTTGAAATCGAATAGTATAAAACAGTAGAAAAATGTGATAGTATACAGAGTAACTAACTAATATGTACCTTAAAGGTAAAAAAATGACTCAAAATCAATCCCACGTAATTTAATTTTAGGAAGTTAAATGACAACCGGTTTCGGGATTAGGCCATCATCAGGTCTATAAATAAAGTAATAAGCGCTTACAATATAAAATGACGTCTCCATAAAATATTTAAAAAAAAATACACGTGTATGATGAAAAAGGCAGTTGTAAGAGATACCATATGTTGGAAATATAGAAATTGTACAAGTTGAAAAAGATTTGCATAAAGAAACTTATAGGCTAACACTACTTACTCATCGCCATATTCTCACATTTATCAACATGTCCCACATATGATATTTCTTACAACTACCTTA